GTCGGGGGTGAGGGGTCGCAGGTAGGAGGGGCTGCTTGGTTATGGGTCACTGGGTAAAGGTTAGGACCCCGCCCAGCCTACTCACCTCCTTACCCCCTCCCCCACCGTGTCATGGAGCATCTCCCCAACCCTCCCTCCATCCTCCTCCACCGTCTCTCCCACCCCCACACACACACACACAAACTTTCCCACTTACATCACTCCAGCTGCAACCTCCCCCCCATCTATTAACACCCATCTCAAATCCATCCCCACCACAACCTCCTCTGCCACATCCACACCTCGTAATCTGCACGAGTCACCCTACATTTGTAAACACATACCACCCTCCCCCCTCCAACACCAGCCCCCACCCCACCCCACACCCAGCCCCCCCCCACACACCCACACCTGCCCAAAACCCACACCTGCCCACACCCACACCCGCTCCACACCCACACCAGCCTCACACTCCACACTTGCCTCACACTCCACACCTGCTACATAACTATATAAACCAGTATAATCGTCAGCAGGGTTCATCGTAGATTCATCCTACCTCATTCATTATCTCTCACTCGGCAAATTATTCATAGTAGCGTGTCTCTTTTTCTTCCTGGAACCAGACAAGTGTAGCTGACAGACAACTGACCTGACCTGACCTGCTGAGCTACACCAACGGGAGTAACTCGTGTGTGTGTGTGTGTGAGAGAGAGAGAGAGAGAGAGAGAGAGAGAGAGAGAGAGAGAGAGAGAGAGAGAGAGAGAGAGAGAGAGAGAGAGAGAGAGAGAGAGAGAAGGGATCACTTGGAAAAAAAAAGAAGAAAAAAAAGTTATCTCCCAAGCTTTTGTCCGAACTAATAATTTAACTTTATCTTAACGCTATGCCTTGTGGGTTAGGTTAGGTTAGCTTCGGTCGGTGATGGGTTAAGTTAGGTTAGGTTCGGACGGTCATAAGGGAGGGGGGTAGGGGGTAATTTTAAAAGGTGAAATAACCTGGGGTGTGTGTGTCTAACCTTCAGGGGTGATCCGAGACTCGTATTAATGAAGGAGAATTAACTGATCACGAGGGAGAAGTGATTGGAATCGACCTTGAAGCGCTCTGATCACAACGGCTATGAAACTGTCCATTTGAGACACCTGTACTAACGGGCCAAGATATTTTATTATGATAGTCTGAAGGGAGGGAGGGAGAGGAGGGCTGGGTGGGGAGGGAGGTGGAGATAGTTTAGAGGGGGAGGGAGAGGTGAGAGGGGGAGCAAAGGGAGTGGAGGGAGAGGTGAGAGGGCAGGTGCAGGAAAGTGTGTTTAAGTCCTAAGTTAAGTGAATGAAGTGTTTAAAAGAGAGATAAAGTGAACCACCTCTCACAAGCTCTTATTTGCATTGTTAAAAAAAATATAAAGTTAAATTGATGAAGCTGTTACATATCGGCCGAGTTTGTTGACAGTGGGAGCGGCAATGTAGCGTAGTCGAACACTTAACAGAGATGGATTAGGTTAGGTTGGGTTAAGTTAGGATAGGATGGGTTAGGTTAAGTTAGGTTAGATTCACATTAGGATGGCCAATCACAGGTGTAAATAAACTAGGGAGGGGGGGTGTCTAATCTTCAGATGATCACTATTGTATTTCTAACAAAAACTAAAACCAGCTGAAAAAAAATCGTGTAAATCGTTGTGGCTAAAGTTTTGATTACTGTTAAAACAAGTGATTGCCCCGTGAGCCACCTCTTTATACGCTGTTACAAAACACTTCCTAACTGCAGCAACACTTTAAATATTAAGGAAATAACCTTTTAACGATTGGCTCCTTGTTGCACCAGACACAAGCTATCAAGTGCAAAATCTGGTTCGTGAGTGGCAGAAACGTATCATGTGTCGGTGTGTGATTGGTTGGTGACGACATTAGAGGCGGGTCAAGAAGGGCGTGGTCAGTGTCTTAGCCTCCCTCGTGTGGTAGTTAATTAGCTGATGGGGGGCCGTGGTGGATGGTGATTGGTCGGTGTGTGTGGTGTTGGGCGGAGTTGATAGTATATAATTAGGTGATGCTACTACTGTACTACTTTTTTTTTACATTGGCCTCCATCCTCCCCTAATTGCCACACCTTCGCCGCCATTTTATTACCTTAAAATTAAATATCCTACCACCACTAATACTACTACCAGCCACTACTACCACCACCACCACTACTACTACCACCACCACCACTACCACCACCACCACTACCACCACCACCACTACTACTACCAATTAATTACCACCACCACCAATTAATTACTACTACCACCACTACCACTACCACCACCAATTAATTACTACTACTCAATTAATTACTACCACCACCAATTCAATTAATTGGGTCATTCTCACCACCACCACCACTACTATCACTACCAAGCTACTACTACTAATAGCACCACTACTACCTGTACTACTAGCCAAATACAAACATTACAACAGCACTATTAATACACAACTATGCAAACCACACTCGTATATAAATCACTATACACATTAATATACACAATGATACTCACTTATGTATTAATGGTTAGAAATATTCACAATAACATCAATGTCAATTTCGGAAATCAAACTCAAGTTGATAAAAAAGTTTTTCCTTCATCTTAATATCGGTCTGATAACCGAACTATGCTATTCGATTCGACATGTGTTGGGGTTCAGATTGACAGATTTAGGATTCGGATTCACTGATTTAGGATTCGGATTCACTGATTTGGGGTTCGGATTCACTGATTTGGGGTTCGGATTCACTGATTTAGGATTCGGATTCACTGATTTAGGATTCGGATTCACTGATTTGGGATTCGGATTCACTGATTTGGGGTTCGGATTCACAAAGACACTTAAAATACAATGAATTTCCCAGGTAAAAAATTATGACGAAATACACTTAACTATTTCACTCTAAGGTATCATTTATGTAACTTTATTTTCTTACGCTTTAAATTAATCGTTTATGCCTTTATTTTCACTTAGGAGTTTTTGTGTACACGACCTGGGAGCACACGGTAGATAATTTCACTTCCGGTTAACAATAATTATGGGTTACCTGTTAAGTGACATTATAACTACCTTGAGTACAGTGATTTGTGAAGTAGTAATAATAATAAAAAAGAAGAAGAGTAATAATAATAATAATGTCAACTATACTACAATAATAATAGCAAATAAACTAACAAAAAAATACAAAAATCACAACGAAAACGTATAAGAATCTACAAGCAAAATGTTGTTGTTGTAGAGTGTAAGACGAGACAAGAGTGAGGGTGTATTAAGGCACACCTGTGTACCATAAGTGTTTGTACCTGGGTGTATAATGTTTGTGTGTATGTGTGTTGGCTGGGTCTGTCTTTGTTTTGGAGGGAGGTCCTTGTGTTGTGTGTTTGTTTTGGAGGTTGTATGCGCATTTTGTTGGAGTGTTTGGCTTTGTTGTTAGAGAGAGAGAGAGAGAGAGAGAGAGAGAGAGAGAGAGAGATCAACAGAGACCAACGGTGGGGTATCACTGCCATGTTTTTTGTTTGTTTACATTTGACGGCGGTAACTATGGCAACAGGCATACTCCAGGATGCTGTGCTGCTGTACCTGTTGTTGCTGGTGGCTGTGCTGCCCCATTTGCTGTTCTTCATGCCTCTGCTGTTGCCTCAATGTCAAAGAAATCTAGTGGAGGGAGGTGGGAGGGAGCAAGGCCGAGGTTAGCTGATTAAGGGGGGGTGGAGGGGAGGTTAATGAATAGGTGATACAGCTGGTGTTGATATGTAGTGGTGGTGATGATATGTAATGGTGGTGATGTGTAATGTTGGTGTGTGTAGTGGTGGTGGTGATATGTAGTATAGGTGGTGATAATATGTAGTGGTGTGGTGATGATGTGACACGAGGCAATATATGGTGACGATACTGTATGTGGTGTGGTCACCCTTGTGATTAACTACCAACCCCCCCCTCACCTGTCAGAAACCGCAATGGTGAATCACCAATAGAAACACCATCTCCATTATATAAATCATCTATCAACATTTATATACATCTATATATTACACCGTACCGTCTCAACACACCTGACAACATAACATCTGTACACACACATCTGAGGTCAGTGCCTTAATGACGCGAAAGGTGAAAATTACATCTGTTACCCACATCAAATTCTGGTATAAAGTGGAGAGTTTTCCCTGGACAGGTATAGACAGGTGTGGGCAGGTTACAACAGGTGTGTATAGGAGATAAGACTGGTTATAACATGTGTAGATTATATATGACATAGACAGGTGTGTGTGTGTGTGTGTGTGTGTGTGTGTGTGTGTGTGTGTGTGTGTGTGTGTGTGTGAGGCACTGATTTAACTCTCCTATGTATACTACTACTTCAAGGGTACATATATTGTCCAGATGGCCTTAGGCTCCTTACACACACACACACCACCTTGTCCTCCTTCGTCAGTGTGTGTGTGTGTGTGAGTGACATTAAGACCCCCCCTCGTGTGTGTGCGTTCTCTCTCCTTCACACTTTCTTTCCCTCTCCTGCTTAGTGTACATTTCTTGGTCTATGTCTTTCATCATACCTTTTGTTCTCCTCCCTCCTCTTCCTCTTCTTCTCACACCTTGTTCTCCTCCTCCCTCTTCCTCTCTTCACACCTTGTTCTCCCCTCCCTCCTCCCTCCTCTTCCTCTTTCACACCTTGTTCTCCTCCTCCTCTTCACACCTTTGTTCCCTCTCCTCCTCTTCCTCTTCACACCTTGTTCTCCTCCTCTTCCTCTTCACACCTTGTTCTCCTCCTCCTCTTCACACCTTGTTCTCCTCCTCTACTTCTTCCTTCTCCTCCACTTCTTCCTCCTCTTGTTGACACTCCTCCACCTCTTCCTTTTATTGAGTTTCTTGTCTGTGTCTTTCATCACACCTTGTTCCCCCACCATGTTCTCCTCCTCTTCCTCCTCCTCTTGCTGACACTCTTCCTCTTCCTCCTCCTTCATGAGTAAAACGCCTTCTTTTCTCCCACTCCCTGAGCAGGTGTACACGAGGAACCAGAGTGAGGTAAGAGGGCTTCTGAGTGGCTACGTGGTGGCCTTCGACAAGCACTGGAACCTGGCACTGAGGGATGTGGACGAGGTGTTCCAGAAGAAGCTCAAGTGCAAGGCGCCGGCCCTAGGTACAGTAGGTGTTGCGGGGAGTTACACCTGAAGATTAGGCACCCCAGCTTATGTTCACCTGTTGATTAAACGCCCTAACCTAACCTACCCTAATATAAGTTACAGCCTAACCTAATATAAGCCAAGCTAATTTAAGCCCACCTAACCTAACCCAACCTAACTTGAGAGAGAGCTAAAAAAAAAAAAAAGACGAAGAAAAAACTCAGGGTGAACGACAAGGGACAGAGGAATCACACCTACTGGTCCCCACAAGAACGTTGCCAAGGTCTTCCTGAAGCAACTCTGAGGTAAACTTCGTCAGGTAATGGTGAAGGTTGGTGAAAGGGTTCTGGGGTGAGGGATAAGGCGTCAGGGGTGTAAGGGGGAGGAATAAGGGGTCAGGGGGGAGGGATAAGTGTAGCAAGGTTATAAGGCGTCAGGGGTGTAAGGGGGAGGAATAAGGGGTCAGGGGGGAGGGATAAGTGTAGCAAGGTTATAAGGCGTCAGGGGTGTAAGGGAGGAATAAGGGTCAGGGGGAGGGATAAGTGTAGCAAGGTTATAAGGCGTCAGGGGTGTAAGGGGGAGGGATAAGGGCTGTGTGTGTGACCACTACCAACCCCCCAGCTGCGTATTGGAGCGCGGCAGCCACTACGACAAACAAGTGATGACGCTACTGCTACTACTCCTTCGGCTACTCCTACAGTAGTGGGTTACTCCTTCTGTCCTTGTCCGTCCCCCCCCCCTAGGTTGTCCTCAAGGTCTGTCAGGTCACCCTCAAAGTCTCAGGCTCTTCCTCAGATCGCCCTCCAAGTCCCTCCTCGTATCGATTCTACCCCTCTTGGTTGCTATGGGAGTAATATCACGGTCATGGTCATCTGTGTCTAATTTCCCCTTGTAATTCAAGACGACCCCCAACTTAACGACACCAAGATGGATTCTCAGTAGTTACTAAATTAATATTTCCCCCTTAACTCAATATCTACCTCAGTCTACGATCAAATAATGGATTCTCGGATTGGTGTTGTGGTGCAGAAGGGTAACGACTCGCAATATATACTAACATTTGAGAATCGATATGGTGAATTTTGAGATTTGTCGTACGAGTAGTGATGATGATGATGATTAATAGTGAAAATGATGATGGTGATAATATAGTAACTATAATTTACACTGATAGTATTTACACACGCAAGAAACTGTCAAGTAAAACATTATGTCCTCAAAGTATTAAATAAAAATACCAAACAAGAACGTATAATATCCTACAAAAAATATATATTACCGGGAAAGTATTGAAATAAAAAAGTAATGAGACTAGAAAAATAATGGAAAAAAACAATCGTTGGTAACTCTAGCTCCACAGGAATGCCATAATAAAAATCGAATCTAATGTTGTGATTGGTCGCGAGGAGTCAGACGAAGGGGGGGGGGAGGGGTGGTGATTACACGCTCACCCAAACAAATTGACCACTTGAATTACCTGGCAAAAGGGGACAAATTAGGTCAAGGTCAAATGCGTTGCCAGTATAAGTTGTATTTTCCTGCGACTCCTGGCAATTGTGGTGTTGCCATTAAAGTCGTATTTCCCGCGAATTTTTTATTTATTTTATTTTAATTATTTGTTTAAGAAATATGAAGTTGTCTATTACGTCTTTATTTATGCAAGAATTAAAATTTATACCTTCCATGTAGTTCTTAAAGTTAATTAATTATTTACTACGTATAACCTTGACATAATTACGTAACTGAAAGGAAGGACACACACACACACACACACACACTTACCAATTCATGGCCGTTTCCTACACACCTGTTCAGTAAATGACAGGTATGTAAATATTGCACAAAAAATGTGATACACTAAGTTTATTCCCACCTGTACTGACAGTAAATAATACAGGTGTTTGTAGGGCGAGAAATACCTGCAATATTTACTAATAGGTAACTGGGGTGGTTATAATGGTGACGCGTCTATAGTTAGGCTAATGGGGGTCACCTGAAGATTAGACACCCTAGTTAATTTGACCTGATGATTAAACACCTTATCGCTACCGTATAGGAGGGAGTTTAGGTTAAGTTGTTAGGAAAGCATTTGGTTAAGTTAGCATGGGGTTGGGTGAGGTTAGGTTAGCATGGGGTTGGTTTAGGTTAGGTTAGCATGGGGTTGGTTTAGGTTAGGTTATGGGTTGGGTGAGGTTAGGTTAGCATGGGGTTGGTTTAGGTTAGGTTAGCATGGGGTTGGTTTAGGTTAGGTTAGCATGGGGTTGGTTTAGGTTAGGTTAGGTTAGCATTGGGTTGGTTTAGGTTAGGTTAGCATGGGGTTGGTTTAGGTTAGGTTAGCATGGGGTTGGGTGAGGTTAGGTTAGGTGCACTGAAGGTTTATTCACAAGATACAGACGACATTTACTGCAATATACCAGTGAGAGAGAGCAGTCGGGGTGATTGACAGAGACTTGATCACATACGGATAAATAACTAAATAAATAACGAGGAAGAACAGAGGTTGTGTCAGCTGTTGTCGGCAGTGTGTGTGTGTGTGTGTGTGTGTCAGACGGGGGTGAAGTTAAGCTGCTTCTCTGATGATGATGACAGTAAGGGTGGATGTGTTAGTGACGGCATATTGTTAGTAATGTACCTCACCTTGGCGTTAGTGAACCACGCATGCGCTAATGTAGGTCAAGATCAACCCCCCCCCTCCTCACCACCCCCCCTTCCCCCAACCTTCTCACTTGCACCACTCCCCCCTCACCTCACCAACATCCTGAACGGTGAGTCCTTTACTAATACCCACTTTCTAACATGGAAACCCCCCCAAGGAAAAGTTTCTCCGTCTTTATAAATTACTTTCACTTTTGTTACTTTCACTGCTTTGTCCTTATCATTCTTTCTTAAGTGGGTTCTTCTTTTCTTCTTCTTTTTCTGTTCTTCCTTTTTACTTCGATATTATTATTTTTTTTTTCACTTTCACCACCAGCCAAGGATCACCATTTCACCATTAAACTTTCACCACCAGCCAAGGACACGTGCTTCACTTTCTCTGACCACTACCCCACAGGCGAGAGATTTATAAAAGTATTAAAAAGTTTCAACAATAACCAAAAGTATAAGCAAACTCATGAGAAACTTTGGCAGCAGGAAAAAAATATATATATGTCGTAAGTTTTAATATTTTTTGTTGTGGGTTTTTTTCCATCGAGGATTTTAGCAACGTAATTCTCGTGTTATTTTTGTTTTCATATTTTTTTTTGTGGTGAGGTTAGGTTAGGTACTGTGACAACCTCTTGAGTCATCGTATTCCAAGAGTTAGGTGTATTCTCTCTCTCTCATGTTGGGCAGTAGTGTGTGTGTGTGTACGCGAGCGCTCTTCAACAAGTAGGTCAAGGTAACCCCAGGGGGAGTGGCGTTGCTAGGATGGGGAGCGGAGGGGAGATTATCCAAGTGAGGTGGGAGGAGTTGTATATGAGGATACCTAAAGGAAACTAACTGGGGAGGTGAGGGGGAGCAGGAGCAGGGGAGGTTAGGATGAGGGTGGGGGGAGGAAGATTAAAAACAGTGGTCTCTCTCTCTCTCTCTCTCTCTGCCGCCGTTATATAAGTCAGATGATCCTTACACACACACACACCTAACATAACCTATTCAAGACTATCCATGTCCTATCCTCTTTACCTATCTTGCCTTGCGTCCCTCCCTACCTACCTCTCTACTCCCCTATTCTCGCCTGCTTCCTACCCCCCTATTTTAATCCCCCCCTCCCCCATAAAAAGAAATTCGCAATATAGGTTTTTTAAGCTTGCTGGATTGTAAAGGGTTTCATTTTTAGGGGGGAGGGAGGGGCGGATTCCGTCTGGATTAGCCGTGTTCTCTGTCTTAGAACACGGGAGGTCCAAGTGGCTTTCTCAAGCTTCGTGTTCTACTGACGTCATCACGCTGTACTGTGGGGTAGGGGGAGGGGGCAGAAGGGGAGAGAGACAAGGGGGTGTGAGTAAGGGGAGGGGGAGAGAGAGGCAAGGGGAGGGGGTGTGGGGACATGGGGTCGTTTGGGGGATAGTAGAGGTTTCGTTAGGTTAGGTAGTAGTGATGGTGGTGGTGATTGATAAGGGGAAGGGAGGAGTACCTATCCCACCCCCCCTGAGAGAGAGGCACAGCGGCGGCACCAACGAGCAGCTGTGTACAGTACAGGTGTGCTAAATGTATACACCTTCCCCCCTTTATGTATGTTCAAGTAGTCTAGCAGGTGTGTATTGCATATCAACAACCTCTCTCTCTCTCTCTCTCTCTCTCTCTCTCAGGGGGTGGCAGAACCAAAGCGAAAGTGGCGCTACACGAGGCAGAAGTCAGCGACAGATTACAGTTCCCTGGCGCGGTAATGACCAATTTGGCGAAAAATAGCCAGATTTAACGCCCGTGGAGGGTGTGGCCTGAGGGAGGGTGGTTAGGAGGCCAGGAGGGAAGGAGGGAGGGACGGATGCCAGAGGGGGAAGAGGGAAGGAGGGAGGCCAGAGGGAGGGGCGTAGGGAGTGAAAGCTGTGGTGTTCCAGCAAGGTTCTCCCCGCTACCCGGACCACACACACACACACGAGTTGGACTTTATCATGACGCAGTTGTGTTTTTGGTTCGCAAGTCCGGAAGACCAGGACCGGATTTAACCTGTCTCGTCCGATTCTATAAACAAGGGGGATCAAATCAGAGTTGGCCACGTCCGAAACACCTGATATGGCGTTAGGGGAGGTTAGGTCAGGGTAGGTTAGGTTAGGTTAGGGACTTTATTTTGAACGTTCGAAATACCTCGTTCAAAACTTTCTTCAAATAATCCCCCATAACTGAATCTCTTCTTACCATGTAAACATTAACCTAACCTAACCCAAAATGGTGTCAAAATAAGTGACTTAACCTTCATTACCTGTCTCTAGTTAAGGGGAAAAAAATCTAATGTGGAATTATTTGAGACGAAGCCTTGAGATGGGGGAGGAGGCACTGGCGTCGAACAAGGCGACTTCCTAAATATGAAGAGTTTCTCCTTTAAAACCTTGAGTCGACTCGGTAGGTGGTGGATGGTGGTAGGTAGTTTGTGGTAGGTGATAGTATAGTGGTAAATAATGGTGGTAGGTGATGGTAGTTTTAAATAATGGTGGTGATGGTGAATGATGATGGTGGTGGTAGGTTATAATAGGTGATGATGGGGGTAAATAAATGGTGATGGTGGTAGGTGGCTGTGGTGGTAGGTGGCTGTGGTGGTGGGTGGCTGTGGTGGTGGGTGGCTGTGGTGGTGGGTGGCTGTGGTGGTAGGTGTGGTAGGTGGTTGTGGTAGGTGGCTGTGGTGGTGGGTGGTGGTAGGTGGCTGTGGTGGTAGGTATGTGGTGGTGGGTGGTTGTGGTAGGTGGCTGTGGTGGTAGGTGGCTGTGGTGGGTAGGTATGTGGTGTAGGTATGTGTGGTGGTGGTGGCTGTGGTGGTAGGTGGCTGTGGTGGTGGGTGGCTGTGGTGGTGGGTGGCTGTGGTGGTAGGTAGTGGTGTCGCTGTAGGCTAGTGAATCGTCTTGTTTGCTCGTCCCCGCGGCGGTGGATTGGGTAGATAACACTGTTCTTCACTGCTCCTCTGTGTGTGTTGGTAGACGAGTAGATTGTCTTTGTTTTTGTTCTTCAAGAGGTCGCTAGTAATGTTCTTCAAGAGGTCGCTAGTAGTGTTCTTCAAGAGGTCGCTAGTGGTGTTCTTCAAGAGGTCGCTAGTAGTGTTCTTCAAGAGGTCGCCAGTAGTGTTCTTCAAGAGGTCGCTAGTAGTGTTCTTCAAGAGGTCGCCAGTAGTGTTCTTCAAGAGGTCGCTAGTAGTGTTCTTCAAGAGGTCGCTAGTAGTGTTCTATAAAGCCTATGTGGCGGCCTCAATCTCCAGTGGTGTGTGTGTGTGTGTGTGTGTGTGTGTGTGAACTGTGTCAGGGTGGTGTTGTGGATGCTGCAGCTTCTGGCTTGTCTCCTCTCATTACTCTCTTCTTCCTGCTTCTTCCTTCTACGTCTTCACTCTCTTCTTCTTCCTCTTCTCCTCCTCCTTTCAAGACTTGTCTCTCCATCGTCATTTCCATCTTCTCTCACCTTCCTCTCTCTACCTTTCCCCTACCTGTCGGAATCGGTACACCATCCACGCCCTAAGGCAGGTGTAGAGGAGGGGGGGTAATGGGGGTGGTGAAGGGGGTGGGAGGTAGGCCTTTGGAGGTGTCTGCAGGCCAAGGTAGAAAGGGGGGGGTGAGGGAGGAGGAGGAGGGCCAGATCTGGGCCAAGACCACCGCTCCTCCCTGGCCAAGTTCACGATCACTGTGTCAAGGGAGACGACCTCACTCCCTCCTGCTGGTGGTGATGACGGTGGTGGTGGTGAGGGAGGAGAGACTGGTAAATGACTGGAGAGGGAGGGAAGGGAGGGAGTGTTGGTGGAGGATGATGATGAAGGGGAAGGAAAGAGGGGTAGTGATGGTGGTTATGGTGGGAAGTGAAATGTAATGGGAGTTGTGGTGCTGGTAAGGATGGTGATAGTGGTGGGGAAGGAGGTGAGAGTGGTGCTGGTAGATGATGGTGTGGAGGAGGGGTGAGAGTGGTGGTGGTGGTTGGTGATGGTTAAGGAGTAGATGATAATGATGGTGGAAATAATGGTAGTAGTTATGATGGGGGCTGGATGTCGATGGTGGTGGGTGATGCGTGCTGGTGGTGCTGCACCTGTTATTATAGGTAGTGGTGTTGGTCGTGGTAGTAGTAGCGGTGATCCTATACTGCTTGTTAGTGCCACGCCTTCTGCTGCAGCTGTGCCACGCCTTCTGCTGCAGCTGTACCACGCCTTCTGCTGCAGCTGTGCCACGCCTGATGCTGCTGCTGTGCCACGCCTAATGCTGCTGCTGTGCCACGCCTGATGTTGCAGCTGTGCCACGCCTGGTGCCACTGTGCCACGCCTTCTGCTGTGCTACACGCCTTCTGCCGCAGCCAGCCACGCCTGGTGCTACAAAGCATGCCTGCTGCTGTGCCACGCCTTCTGCTGCAGCTGTGCCACGCCTGATGCTGCTGCTGTGCCACGCCTGCTGCTGTGCCACGCCTTCTGCTGCAGCTGTGTCACGCTTGCTGCTGCTGTGCCACGTCTGCTGCTGTGCCACGCCTGATGCTGCAGCTGTGCCACGCCTTCTGCTGCAGCTGTGCCACGCCTGCTGTTGTATCATCTGCTGTCACTTTCACACTTTCGCTGCTGCCGCCGGACTCCTCTTACTCTCGCTCCATTGTTCTCACACACACACACACACACAGGGACCCCATACTCGTGTGTGTCAGTGTATGAATATCGTATGTAGACATGTATGTATGTTCATAAGTATGTATGTCTTGTGTATCTACGTATTGTGTATGGGTGTAAATATATAAGTGAATCGCCTGTATATACACAACATATACACATGTATGTATACAAATATGTGTGTGTGTGTGTGTGTACATGATAGACCATTCATGTACGAGTGACAAGATGTACAGATCTTCGGCCTTGTACACACCATAATAAACACGGGAGGAGGGGGTGTTGGGGGGTAGGGGAGGGGGAGACGTAGAATAAAACATTACTCCTTGTATTAGGTACTAAACTGGCCTGCCTCTATCACCCCTCCCCCCTCCCCATCAAAACATTCCCAAGCTCATCCTCTTCCTCCTCCCTTCATCCCTCTTCCCTACCTCCACCACTTCCAGCCAGCAAGGACCCAGCCAGCAAGGACCCCCCACAGTTTCTTTTCATCATCCCGAGGTTCTTGAAGGTTGGTGAGGAAGAGAAGGAGGAAGAGGAAGTAGAGTAGGTTGACGGAGGAAGAGGAAGAGGAGGAGACTGATGGAGGAGGAGGAAAAGGAGGAGACTGACGAAGGAGGAAGAAGAGGACTCGTGTCTGTCTTCTCATTAATTCTTTCCCTTTCTAAATCCGTCAACCGCGTTCACAGTCACTCAGGGTGGTCACACACACACACTGCACGCCAAGTGGCTATTAACTGAACACGAGTAACGCCTAGCTGAACGCACGAATGGTTAAATGACTGGGAAAATTACCTGAACGTATGGGACAATTACCTGAACACAACTGTAAGTCTCCCCCCCCCCTCTCCTCCTACCATTACCCCCTTCAGGAGTTCAGGAGGTACGAAGGATGTGAATATGACGCAGGAGTGGTTAACAGAAGGACAGGAGCAAGGAGTATTGTTTCGTTGTCTTTATCCCTCTTTCACCTTCCCATGTTAGAGGGAGGGGGCATGGGGAGGGAGGGGGAGAGGTGTCTCATCGTACTCCTGAAGTTCCCGGGGGAAGGAAAGAAGGAAGGAGGGAGGGAGGGAGGGAGGGAGGGAGGGAGGGAGGGAGGTAACATGACTAGGATCTTAAACTTGCTGTACCGCAGACGTACCCCACCAAGGTCGTACCATAACAACAACAAAAGTTACTGTGTGTGTGTGTGTGTGTGTGTGTGTGTGTGTGTGTGTGTGTGTGTCATTAAATACAATATCATTCCACAACATGACCCTTGACACCGTCCTTCTCTTCGTGCAGGTGACGTGACTCACTTCGTCAACGTGGGTGACCTGACCATCCACGACTCCTCCAGCGACGAGTCCTCTGACACGTACGACTCGGACGACTCAGACGACCTCGAGACAAGGACCAAGACGCGAAAGGGAACGACCACTAGGAAGACTAAACCAGACACTGAGGACGCTGGGCCATCTGGTGGTGGAAGTGGAAAGGTGCGAGAGTCAGGTGGAGCAGAAGGTGGTAAACGTGTTGTGTATGGCGACAGCAGGAGCAGGCTGGGGGAGACGGAGATAAGGGCGAGGGCTTCTGTACGTGTGACGACGGAAAACCCCTCTACCAGCGACACTCAAGACGCCCGCAGACTCCAACTAGGTCGACAAGGAGCACCACCCCCACCACCAGCCCACCCTCAGAAGCAAAAAGAAGAAGAGGGGGAGACAGAAGAAGGAGAGATAAAGAAGAGAGTGAGGAAGAGGATGAAGAGAGAGATCAGAAAGCGCCACGTAAATCAGTTGTTCATCAGAGGCGAGAATGTAGTGTTAATTGCAGTAGCTGATAAACCTCAGCCTGATTGAAGTGCTGCACACGATCTATTAAAATAATGTCAGATAAAAAAGAATATATCGATATATCTTCCCCCCAAAAAATAAAAAAATAAAATAATAGGAATACAGAAGTTTTTTTTTTTTTTATTCCTCAAAAAAAAAAATCTCTCCAATACCACTTACATATTCGAGTACACTTAATACCTCTGGAAATCCTCATAGTCTAAGATTAAAGTTTCAAGTGGTAGCGTGAACTTACGATCAAAATAAACTTACGATTGATCTTAAGGTTAAAAGAAAAAGATCGTAACTTTTTTTTTTAACTTACCTTAATTTCAGAAATGTTCGTGTATTGGTCACTTCCTGAAAATATATATAATTGGGTGTTAGTTTATCGTTCACAAGTTGGATAAATGGAAAATACTTAGACAGACACAACACAGACACACATTCTGATCATCCTTCCACAATTCTTTTCTCTCTCGTCTTTACTTTTTCCTTATTCTCTTTTCTCTCTCTGATCTTCCTCTTCCTCTTCTCGACATGTTTATTCTCTTTTTACCCCCACCTTCCTTCTCTCTCTCTTCTTACTTTCTCTCGTCCTCTCCCTCCCCTTCCTTTTATCATCCATCCTACCTTCTCCTATTCTCTCCCTGTATACCCTTATCTCTCTCCTCTCTTCCCCTTCCTTCCTCTATCCACTCTCTCTCTCTCTCTCCCTTCATTCTCTCCTCGCCCTCCAATGTTCTCTCTCCTTCCTTCCTTCTCCCCTCACCCTCTCCAGCATGTCTAAGACGAAGGGAAGGGAGGGGGTGGCTCCAGGATGTCATGTGCTGGAGTTAAAGCTGACCTGTTTCTTCCCTCTCCCTCTCCCTCCTCCCCCTACGTCTTCCTACCTACCTATCTCCCCCTTTCCTACCTACGGCTCCCTCTTTACCTATATCCCTCCCTCTCCAGACAACGAAGGAGAGGAGGGGGTGGGTGGGGGGGGTTCTACGCCTTTACACCTCCCTCCACCACCTCTTCCTCTTCTAAATACCCCTCTTCTTCTTATTCTTCTTCCTCCTCCTCCTCTTTCCCTCTTCTTCCACCTCCCTCTGCTTCCACCTCCTTCTCCTCTCCCCTCGTCTTCCACCTCCTCCCCCTCCTCCTCCCTCCTCGTTGGGACGCCTGGTGTAAGATGGCAGTCAGCGTGCTGGGAATACTGGTGACCTGTCTTTCTTTTCTCCTTCCTTCATTTATTTCCTTATCCTCTTTTCCTGTCTTTTCTTCTCTCTGGCCCTACAATCTTCTCCCTTTCCTCTCTCTCTCTCTCTCTACATACATCAGGTAACAACAACATGCAGGTAGGTTTTCCGGACAGACGAATGAACAGACAGACAGACGTACAGACAGACATAAGTACATAGCGACAGACGGACGTACGCTCAGGCAGAGTAGGGGGATAAAAATTAATATAATTTATATAATCTGAGAATTTGAGAGAAACTAGGATTTATTATTGACAACCAAACACCTTCATTATATACATTATATATATTATGACAACCTAACCTACCCCCTCCTCTTCCTCCTCCCATTCCCTCCCTCTACCCCCCCCCCACCACCACCCCCCACCGAAGAAGTAATTCTCCACGACGTAACCTTGATGTTAAAGATGCGTTCCGGGTCGTGTAGTGGCCTGCCATCGATTAGGTCCCAGCCTCCTTCCCTACCACACCCTGGCAACAAGACTTCGCTGGGAGAGTGTGGGGGAGTGGGTTGTGGGGGGAGACTGTGGGTGGGGTGGGGCTAGTGAAAGGAGGAAAAGAGAGAGTAAAAGAGAGGTGAGATAAAGAGGAGAGAATATGGGGAATGGAAGAACTGTTGAGAGAAAGAGAGAGAATCTTTTCACATGTTATGGTCAAGTGGACCCTCGGCAAACACCACGTGACTCTCTCTCTCTCTCTTTCACCACCATCCTCCTCCCAGCCTCCCTTACGCATGCTCTCTCTCTCTCTCTCTCTTTCACCACCATCCTCCTCCCAGCCTCCCTTACGCATGCTCTCTTTCACCAACATCCTCCTCCCAGCCTCCCTTACGCATGCTCACTCTCCTCCTCCTGCTAGGGGCTGGCTTCCTGTCCAGCTCCAGGGCCCAGATGCCGGAGCCAACAGTCACTCTCTCTCATTCACTCTTAATCCTCACATGTCTCTGTCTCTTCATCACTCTCTCTCACCTCAACAGTCACTCTCATTCACTCTTAACTCTCACATGCCCTGTCTCTCTTACCCACTCTCTCTCTCACTCCTCAACAGTCACTCTCATTCACTCTTAACTCTCACATGCCCTGTCTCTCTTACCCACTCTCTCTCACTCCTCAGCAGCGTTCATACAAGCAGGCGATACTTCTGTTACCTTGACCTACTAATGACGGTAAAATGGTAGCACGAGGAAATAGTGATGAGAGTGAGAGTGTGTGTGTGTGTGTGTGTGTGTGTGTGAGAGTATGTGTGAGTGTGTGTGTGTGTGTGTGTGTGTGAGAGTATGTGTGTGTGTGTGTGTGTGTGTCCTGTTGAACGGATTTAAACACACGCACAAAACACAACAGGGATTGTCTTTTAACTTCTCGAGTTGCCTGAGGTCACGTGTAGAGAGAGAGGGGGGGGGGAGGTGGATGATGTCAGATCAACAGGTGTTTCTCAGCACACCAATTCAACAGATGTTATTAGGCTCAATTCTCATCACAACAGATCAACAGGTGTTTACTATTGTGCCATACAAAGGTTCAGCTGCCAGTCAAGTATGGGCGTGGTGTCTGTACACCTGTAGACAAGTGTTGGACCAATCACAATTCCCTGTCTCTCTCTGTTTATCATGTGTGTGTGTGGAACAGGTGTAAATTTGGCCTTTTCTTTCACTCACTCACTCGCTATCATAACTCCTTACCTATACAATATACCATAAAAATTGGGTACCAAGTGTAACCTAACTATTTAATAATAGGGCCTATTAGGACTGGGGCCTATTAGGACAGGGGCCCGTCTGACCAGCCACGTTCTTTAATAGTGCAAGAGAATGTGTTCACATATTTTTTACACACACACACAAGACATAGACACGATGCTAAATGCCACGTCTTCATCATGTAGGTTTAAATAGGAGACAGAGAGAGAGAGAGAGAGAGAGAGAGAGAGAGAGTGTGTGTGTTAATCCCTAGTGAAACTGAGAGTCACGCACATGTTGCTCACACGCACACATGTGTACTGCACTTTCACATTCACTTTCAGCCATGTGCGTGCGTGTGTGTGTGTTTTACAGACTAACATATGATCAGTGTAACAGTAAATGTACGAGTAACACACACACACACACACACACACACCTTACAAACATTAATAACAAAATCTAAAGTCAACGACAAATAAACATCAAACAAACAAAAACAGACTGAGATGAAACACGTCAACAACACGTTCTGAGGGGGGAGGGGGGTTGTTCCGGAAGTGACATCACGGCGGCATTGTCAATCACACACAGCCATCTTGAAGGAGTCGAGGTAATCACGTTCTTCATCCATCCCTCCCCAGACGGACACATGCACGAACACACAAAGGGGGGAAGAGGAGGGAGGAGGAAGAGGGGGAGAGGAACAACAGGACAATGATGCATGTTATTATCATTCTTCTGTTATGGAAAAGTTAAAACCCTGCACTAAATGGAAATAAACATGTTAATATCACCGCTACTATGTGCACCACTAAGGACCACAACAATCCCACCAACCATAAAACATTCTCACACAATAATGGTGCCAACACATCTGACACCGTAATAACACTGGTGCCATAATAACTCACATAACTACAGTGGTGCCATAACTCACTACATAACTACACTGGTGCCATAACTCACTACATAACTACAGTGGTGCCATAACTCATTACATAACTACACTGGTGCCATAGCTCACATAACTACAGTGGTGCCATAACTCACTACATAACTACACTGGTGCCATAACTCACATAACTACAGTGGTGCCATAACTCACTACATAACTACAGTGGTGCCATAACTCACATAACTACAGTGGTGCCATAACTCACATAACTACACTGGTGCCATAACTCACATAACTACACTGGTGCCATAACTCACATAACTACACTGGTGCCATAACTCACATAACTACAGTGGTGCCATAACTCACATAACTACAGTGGTGCCATAACTCACATAACTACAGTGGTGCCATAACTCACATAACTACAGTGGTGCCATAACTCACATAACTACACTGGTGCCATAACTCACTATATAACTACAGTTTCTCTTGTCAGCTGGTTTGTTTACGAGTCCCAAACAGCTGACTTCCCAAACAGTTTGGAAGCAGCGTAGTGATTGGCTGTGGCAGCGTCATCAGGTCTCTGACTGGCGGAAAGGATTGTAGAAACTCTGTGATTGGCTACTGACGGTGCTTCCTCATGTACGATAATTTTGTTTTTTTCTCGTGTATTTCGCATAATATTGCCAGTTTATATAACAGCTGAGTTAAGTAATCCTGTTAATTTAAAACTGGATCAATTTAATCCAATCGCGAGCCAATATAATCCAACTTAGTTTTACCTAACCTAATCCAACCTAATCTACCCTATCTAGGATAAATCTGGTTAGGATGGGTTAGGTTTAAGTGAGATTAGAGTAGGTTAAGTAAGGTAAGGTTAGGTTAGGTTAGGTTAGGTTTGGTTAATCCAGGTTAGGTTAAACTGAATCAGATTAGGTTGCAGTACGCGCTCGCTCTCTCTCTCTCTCTCTCTCTCTCACCAATGCAGAGAAATGACGGAACACAATGAAAACAACACACACACAGCACCATAAATCACACACACTGGCAACCACCACACCTGCTTCACCACACTCACTATACGAACCAACTACTTGATATTTTGTCCAAATTTGCAGAAAGTAAATAAGTAAATCCCACAAGTGTAAAGTAGTCATATCATAGGTATTAAAAGCAGTTGATAATTTTACTAATACTGTATAATAATTTCTTCAATAATCTAGTAACTTTGAAAAAATATCAATAAAATATATATATTCTAACCTAACCTAACCTTACCTAACGTATCTTTCTTCATTACCTCACACGTAACATTCATTCCATCTCATAACACCACAACTTAGCTCTTACGTGTTAAATTGGTCCTAAATTTTACTTACATTATCACTACCTCATGAAATAATTCCCCGCGTAATTTTTCCCGCCAAAAAGAGTGAAAATACGTATTATAAACACCCGAATTTCCCCTCTCCACTTCACCACTTTCTCCCATAATGGACTTACTGGCAACTCTTATTTTCTAGACCACTGAGACGTG